CTGCGCCTGAGGAAGGGTGATTGTAACTGTGCTGAAGGGACGATGATTGTATTTGAGCTCGAGAGAGGATGATTGTATTTGAGCTGGAGGGAGGGTGATTGTCTCTGTGCTGGAGGGAGGGTGATTGTCTCTGTGCTGAAGGGAGGGTGATTCTAACTGTACGGGAAAGAGGGAGTAGAAGGGGGGGATGGAGGAAGAAGATCCAGAGTTATAGAACGTATCATGGAAGTAGTTAAAAAACAGTTGAACGAGGGAGGAGGAGTTAAAGGATGCTATATGGAGGTATGGAGGGAGTGAGTTGAAAGTAATTGTAGATGGTAAGGGTCAGAAGTTGAGAAATATGTTTGCTGGATGTGATGGTTTTTGAAGAGAGAGAGTTAGAGAGAGAGAGAGAGAGAGAGAGAGAGAGAGAGAGAGAGAGAGAGAGAGAGAGAGAGAGAGAGAGAGAGAGAGAGAGAGAGAGGGATATATAAGATGTTAGAGGGACAGAAGAAATGCAAATAGGTGGAGGGAGAGAGGGTTGTATATTCTGTTGGAGGGAATAGAAAAGTATAGATTTAAAGAGAGCTAATATATTACATTGATTTTGCTACTGTATCATATATTCATAAACCAACATGGCGAAAGATTCCCAAAGTGAGCAGCTCTTAGCCTAAGCTTCTCCATCATTTTGGAATGAATTTAATTATCTCAATTGTTTTCAACTTGAACTCTTAACGCAATCAATAAGTAAGTTTGTAATAAATGCACCTGGCTTTAAACACAATTATGTTCCAATTCTCCCATAAGGTGTTAACATAAGCTTGGGAGATATTGTCACTTACAATTACTTCATCAACAAATTAACATATACACCTGTGAGTGAAAGATGTACAGCTCGATTACGCCAGGTGATTACAGCTTGGAGGCTGGAAGGTCCATTGTTACAGCCCTAATAACAGCAGGTGAAGTAGTTAACCCCACAATTGGCATTCTCCTTGACATGGCAATTGGCACGTTCGATTGATTAATATTCTTCCGTGGCACTGCGAGTGCCAAATTGATGACATGCAGAAAGTTTAGATTGGGGCTTATTGAGACTCGTGTGGGTAGCCTTGTTAATGTTTGAGTTTTCCTGGTGCTAAAATTTTCTTTGTTTTTTTTCTACTTTGCCTGTTCGTCTGTTAACTTGTCCAGAGGCGTTCTGTATCTCTCTTTGAATTCTGTCATTCATGTCTGACTTTGTCTTTGTCGCGTTTTTAATATGTCTGTTTTATAAATTTTCTCGGGTATTTAATGTCTGTCTTTGCCTCTTACTATCTACCAATATTTGTCTCTGGCTCTGTCTGTCTGTCTGTCTCTCTGTCTGTCTCTCTCTCTCTCTCTCTCTGTCTGTCTCTCTCTCTCTCTCTCTCTCTCTCTCTCTCTCTCTCTCTCTCTCTCTCTCTCTCTCTCTCTCTCTCTCTCTCTCTCTCTCTCTCTCTCTCTGTATATATATATATATATATATATATATATATATATATATATATATATATATATATATATATATATATATATATATATATATATATATATATATTAAGAAACAACAGAGTTATGGGGTTTCGCCATTATTGGTTAGGTTCTGGAAACGTGAGAACAACCAACTGACTGCTGCTCTGAATAAAACTGAGGGTCAAATATCCCTACTGACTAGCTTACGCATTCATGTGTTATCGCTATTTCTTTTTCTCTTTGACTCTCTCTCTATCTCTCTCTCACTCTCTCTCTCTCTCTCTCTCTCTCTCTCTCTCTCTCTCTCTCTCTCTCTCTCTCTCTCTCTCTCTCTCTCTCTCTCTCTCTCCATCTCTCCATCTCTCCATCTCTCCATCTCTCTCTCTTCTCTCATTCTCGAGACGAGAGGCGGACCTTGATTTTCTTAAAAGATTAAAAAAAAAATTGCAGATACTGGATGTTGAATGCTGAGTACAATCCCTTCGATCGATAGTCATGTTTACAAATTTCATTTTGATACAGCTGTCATTGCTGCTTCTAATGTTGTGGATGTTCGCAATGCGGTGATAATGTTGTGGTGATAATCCATAATTTTCTTCACAGAGGCGAAGAAATTATGGATTATTAGTGTGGGACAAATGAAAATCGGTGTGTCGCAAGCCAAGGGCTTTGTTCTCGTTCGGTCATTCACATTGAGTGCTTACGATGCAGTGGGTGTTTTGCGAGATGAGTTCTGCAGTTATTGTGGAAGATGGGAAGATCTTCTATTATTGTTTTAGATTTAGCTATTAAGAAAGAAACGTCCATTTAACACGGGATATAGTGAGCCCGTAAGATCTTCGTTTGCTAATGGGTTATATATGTGTGTGTGAGACCGAACACATGTGACGTCTCGCTAATAGAGCATTTCAAGATCCAAGAGCTAAGAACTCGATTCTGCGGGCACAAATAGTAAGTAAATAAAGACAATCACTCATTGATACCAACTGACGCACACATTAACGCGCACACACGCTCACATAGAAACAACACACACACACATATATAGTCAGAGTTTCTTTTATCTGATGCCTCTATTCAATTAGCAGTAAATAGGTATCTTGGAGTTATACAGCTGCTACGGACTGCATTCGGAGAATATGTGTGTTAGCGATAAATATGTGAAGATGCGGCAAAGGAAAATAGGCCGGGTGTCTGTACATTAGACAACCGACGGTAAGAAAGGTGGAGACCAAGAGCTAGTTGCTCGATCCAGCAGGTACACACGCACACACACACACACTCACACACACTCACACGCACACACAAGCACAGCAACAAAAGCCTCCTGGCTGGCTTCGACAAACTCATGAATAGGAGAGACAAAGCTGTTTGTTCAATCGCCATTGAAAACACTGGATAGTGAAAGTCTTGACACATAATTCCCAACTCTGTTGCGGCATATTGAGCTGAATATATGTGGAATTAAAGCCTTTGTGAGGGCGTGAAAATTACTACCTGGATATGGGCTGAGAATTAGTGCCTTAGTGAGGGATGAGAATTAGTGCCATCACAAAAGCTGAGAATTAGTGCCATCACAAAAGTTGAGAATTAGTGCCTTAATGAGAGGTGATAATTAGTGCCCCCGTAAAAGCTGAAAATTTGTCTCTCAGCAAGGGCGTGAGAATTAAGACCTACCGGAACATTTTATGTCAATATGCAAAACTGAAATGAAGAATGTTTTTGGTGCTGGCCTAAGGCCTATCAATCTTCTGAGGATTATTAAAGCCCTGACCAACAAACAACTATTCTTTAATCCTGAATATCTTATAGAATCTCAAAGTATGTATAATATATAATATATATATACATACACATACACATCCACACAAACCCAAGCACAACCCCACATACAAACCATCAACCTTCACAACACACACACACACCTACACCCACACACACACCCACACACACCCACACACAGTACCAACACCTTCACACACAGTTCCAAATCAAATTGTTTATTTTCGCATTAATGGCGAGAGATAATAGCACGCAGGATTAATGTCATCTCCCACACACTTCCCTGGAGCGTTGCTTAAACGTTGTCAGTGTGTATAGCAACGTCCTCGTGGGATGCTCTGGCTTTATTGGATGCTCGGTTGTGACGTAGCTTGGATGCTGCGGATTCATTGGGTACTCGTGTGTGTGACGTCACTGAAAGCTGTTGTTTCATTGGGGCCTCTGGTGTGACGTCAGTTAATGCTGTGGATTCATTGGGTGCTTGTGTGTGACGTCACTGAAAGCTGTTGTTTCATTGGGGCCTCTGGTGTGACGTCAGTTAATGCTGTGGATTCATTGGGTGCTTGTGTGTGACGTCACTGAAAGCTGTTGTTTCATTGGGGCCTCTGGTGTGACGTCAGTTAATGCTGTGGATTCATTGGGTACATGTGTGTGACGTCACCGAAGGCTGTTGTTTCATTGGGGCCTCTGGTGTGACGTCAGTTAATGCTGTGGATTCATTGAGTGCTTGTGTGTGACGTCACCGAAGGCTGTTGTTTCATTGGGGCCTCTGGTGTGACGTCAGTTAATGCTGTGGATTCATTGAGTGCTTGTGTGTGACGTCACTGAAAGCTGTTGTTTCACTGGGGCCTCTGGTGTGAGGTCAATGGCCACATCAGCGTCAGTGAGTATCGCAGTATGATCCTGACATAAGCCTTTTTAATCAGTCTTATTTCCCCTCGTCGACCCCTTGACAGGTGATCACTGCCAATCTTTCTTCCCCCTAATCTTTGCATATATTTCCGATGTTAGTAATGTTCATTCAACACCTGCTTTATCCTCTCAACAGAAAGCATTCAATATCCCTCTTTTCTTTCTCTAAACTACACACCTCTAAACACCTGCCTTACCTTCTCTATAGTGCAGTCAACACCCGCATTACCATCTCTATAGTAGACGACAACCCGTTCTCGCAAATTTAATAAGTCAATATTGACTTATTAAATATGTGCATAGGTGACATACTTAACATAATAGTTTCCCTTGAAAAGCTTCATAGAAAACACCGACCTTACCTAGCCTACTTAGTATGTTAAGATAAGCATCTTATTGCTTCGTAATTACAATTATGACCTAACCTATACCTATAATAGGTTAACTAACACTTGTAATTACGAAGCTATAAGATGCTTATTTTAACATACTAAGTAGGTTAGGTAAGGTCGGTGTTTTCTATGAAGCTTTTCAAGGGAAACTATTATGTTTAGTATGTCACCTATGCACGCAACTAATAAGTCAATATTGACTTATTAAATTTGCGAGAACGGGTTGTAGACGAACACCCGCCTTACACTCTCATCACTGCACACAGTCAACAATCACCTTAAACTAATTCAACTACCTTCAGCTCACTCGCCTCACTTCTCACCATTAATAGAAATCAACGCATTTATCCTCCGCCTCTAACAAATTAATGCACTCAAACCCGCCACTCATCCTCCCAGAACGCGTTCAAATCCCTTTTTTCCTTCGTACCTCCGCAGGACGTCTACTCTATGACGTACTACAACGCGAACCATAGCGTGACGGTCTACCACTGCGCCACCGGCGGGGACCACGGCATGCTCTTCGCCGTGTACAGGCTCGTTATTGTCTTTGTGTTGCCGGCTCTCCTCATGTCCTTCTTCTACGCCAGGGTCATCAAGGCGCTCTGGGTCTCTACCAAGAAGATGACAGCCATGACACGCGTCTACAGGTGAGTTTGTGCAGGTATATTGAAGTGATTTGGGTCAATAGGAAGAGTCATTTGATGTGGGGGTTTCAGGGGTTCAACGTCAACAGGTAATGTGATTATGGGATTATGGGGTCAAGGGGATGTGATGAGAGGTCAGTAGTAAAGGTGGTTACAGGTCATGGTTTATGGTCAAGAAGTGAGGTGATTTGGGTGGATGGTAGGGGTCATGGAATGTAATGAGAGGGCAAAGGTTAAAGTTCATTACACACAGAGATCACACTAACGTGATGCATCAAATGAACAAATCCACAAGGGCACAGTCGATTAAGGCAGTGTCTGGGATGCTCCCGGACGCAGGTTCGAATCCTCGTCACGGCCCTTGTGGATTTGTTCGTTAAAGTTCATTGTTTACAAATGATGTCATGGGAGCTGGGATGCTGTGTAGTCAAAGGTCAAATGTGTGTGTCACAGGTTAAGAATGAGGCGTGTGAGGTGTTAATAGTTGTGGTGAGGTCAGAGGTCATGCAATGATTGTTGTGAGGGGTTGTCCTGGTTGATCAGTCCAGCAATCAGGAGGCCTGGTCGACGACCGGGCCTCGGGGACGCTAAGCCCCGGAAGCCCCTCAAGGTAAGGGGGAATATGATGCTCAAAAATGAAAGAAGTCAATCAGGTGAAAGCTTGATTGAAAGCTCCCGGTAATTGCTAAAAATGTACTCTTTTAAAATGTACACTATTTATAATGTACACAATTTAAATGTACCCTATTCATAGTGTACACTATTTACACATAACAACTGCCGAATTTTGTTAAAACAAGCATTTTAAAAATCAAGATAATATTGTTCTTCAACAAGAGGAACTCATGTCAAAGGTGAGGTGCTCATGGTGATGAAGACTCGAAAAAGATCAGGGAGTAATGATAAAGATCTAAAGACAAAAATGTTTGGAATAAGACAAATGTTACATTGTGATTTATACCTCGAAGCGTTCACAATAAAACAACTAATGTTATTTATAAGTTCTACCTTGATCTTGTTAGGGTCCATTTAGATTATGCAATTAAATTTTCATCGCCATACAAGAGAATAAACTCAAACTCACTTTAACGAGTTCAGAGAATGATGCTACATTCAATGCCAGTAATTAGCAACCTTCCACTTGAAGAGATATTGAGAAAGCATAAATTACTTTCTCTGGAAATGCGAAGAATTAGAGGTGACATGATTGGTGCATACAAGTTGACGAAAGGGCATAAGAAAGGGCATACCCGTATATACTACACGGCCACACACACACACACACACACACACACACACACACACACACACACACACACACACACGCACACGCACACGCACACACACACACCCACACACACACACACACACACACACACACACACACACACACACACAAAATCACACACACACACACACACACACACAAAATCACACACACACACACACACACACACACACACACACACACACACACACACACACACACACACACACACACACACACATGCACCTCACGACACTGGAAGACAGAAGAGTAAGGGGAGACATGATCACTACCTACAAAATTCTCAGAGGAATTGACAGGGTAGGATACAGATAAACTGTTTAACACGGGTGGTACGTGAATAAGGGGACACAGGTGAAAACTGAGTACCCAAATGAGCGACAGGGACGTTAAGAAAGAACTTTTATCAGTGTCAGAGTCGTTAACAGGTGGAATACATTAGGCAGTGATGTGGTGGAGGCTGACTCCATACACAGTTTCAAATTTAAAAAGTGCTTTCTAACGTCCTTGTGGCTCATTTGGGTACTCAATTTCCACCTGTGTGTGTGTGTGTGCGTGTGCGTGTGCGTGTGCGTGTGCGTGTGCGCGTGTGTGTGTGTGTGTGTGTGTGTGTGTGTGTGTGTGTGTGTGTGTGTGTGTGTGTGTGTGTGTGTGTGTGTGTGTGTGTGTGTGTGTGTGCGCGCTCCCGTATGCAAACATTTTACCTCATAGTAATACATATCGTATTGCAATAGACTGAACATACAGCAGTCTTGAGTCCACTCCGAGTTCAGAGGGGAGAGAGGGAGATGAGTGAGAGTGTGTGTGTTTATATTTACATGTATCCATGTGAATTTGGTCTCTCTTTCCCGTTGGTACCAGCTAGTATTGAACTCCAGCTCTCCGTCCCCGCCTCTGAACTATCGGTCAATTGAGCCAGTCTTTTACAAGTCTCGTGACATCCCGTTTCAACCTGCATTAGACACACAATATATATATACATTTTGTATATAAAAAAGGATACTCTTTTCACCTCGACATTTAGGGAAGGTGAAGGATGTTCTAGGCTGACTTTTCAAGCAGTTTAAGTATCAAAACTTATAGTTTTGTATTAATTATTAGTATTAGTAATTATTAGTAATATTATTAAATTATTAGTAATTATTAGTAATATTATTAAATTATTAGTAATTATTAGTAATATTATTAAATTATTAGTAATTATTAGTAATATTATTAAATTATTAGTAATTAGTATTAATAGTATAGTCCAGCATCTCAAAATGTTCTTCTGAGATTAACAGGAAGAGACATAAATTGACTGATGCGAGAAAATGTCTCAATTTTTATTTATCAAGCCTCTGAATATGTATTTACTAAATCTAATAAAATTTATGTAAAGCAATATTTAAGAACACAAACAAACACATGTCTAGACCACCTTTCCAATTATTCAAAATGACTTAAAAATTTGTTTTCCTGGTTCGTGTTTCCCTTCGTTCCAAACACGTATTTTCTATAAAATCTCAAAACCAATTTCCAGATCAATTGCAATATTTCTTTAATGCATAATGTTCTGAAGTAAAAATAGTTATTTCTGATCAGCAAAATTGGAAAACACAGAGTTCACAACTGTTGTTTCTCAACGGTTTAATTGACTTCTGAGAAAATTGTAATATGTTTACCCAGTTCTCGTCTCCAATTTTCCCGGAAAGAAAATTCTCCAAACCAATTTCGTTTTCTGCAACCTCCTTGACTTTGACGAAAGCTAAGCTTGCGGCATACAAAGTTCGCTTGTTATTCTGCCTGTCCGGCTCGGATGCTATCTATGCTGTTGGTATCTTCCTCTTGAATACGAAAAATTGGATGGACAAGATGCTGGCATATCTGGACATATATATATAAAGAATCACACAGGAACTTCTTAACAAGATGGACGTGGGGGAAAAGGCTAGACTAGACTGAATTTATTTTGACTTTCAAAAAAAGGATTCGACAATTCCGTACTGTTGTTGATTTTAGTACTGTATAGTTGATTTTAGTACTGTATAGTTGATTTTATACCCGCACTGGGTCAGGTGATAATACAATAAAGGTGAAAACATGGGGAGATACATAAGGGATAAATGTGAGGTGAAACATAGAGGCTGCAGAAGGCTTATTGGCCCATACGAGGCATCTCCTATCTAAACACAAAGATTAATCCAGTGTAATTGGCCTATTATGTTGGACATTGTCTTCTGTGTTGGCATCGATATGTTCTTGTCTTGTCCTTACTCTCATGGTGGGTAGAGTTAATAGTTCCGTGATTTGGGTGTTCAAATCACGGAACTATTTATCCCTTATATATATATCTGTCCCTGTTTCGTGACATGACTCCGACAGTTTTCTATTGAAAGGTCCTGGGCACAAAACCGCTCAAAATGTCATTACGTTCAATATTTGTATTGTTAACAAACATTCACATCAACCAGAAAAATAATCCACTTATCGAAGAAAATAACATAATGAAAGGTCATGCAATCCTGACCCGTAGTAGTAGTAGTAGTAGTAGGTAGGTAGTTATTAGGCGAAAGCACCAAGCCATCATGACTATATAGCACTTGAAAAGGGTCAGGATAAGGAATTGGGATGGGACGGGGGAAAAGGAATGGTGCCCAACCACTTGGTCGGTCAGGGATTGAACGCTGACCTGCACGAAGTGAGACCGTCGCTATACCGTCCAGTCAAAGCGGCTGGGCTCTTGACCCAGGGATAACAGTTAATGCAGTGAAGCATAATGCTAAACTTCCGATTTAAAAAAATATATAAAAATAATATTTCTTTAGATAAGAAAAAGCTCCTTTTGTTTGTAGCCAATCTGTAGTAATAGGGAGCAGCTTAACCTGGGATATAATTGAGAGTAACAACACATACGCAAATAAAAATGATAAGTATTCCGTCCCGAGTCTCGTTACAGTGCTCCACCTGAAGCTTTATTTATTTATTTATTTATTTATATATATACAAGAAGGTACATTGGGTTTGTGAGAATACATTGAATAGTACAGTATATACAATCTTGTAAAGCCACTAGTACGCGCAGCGTTTCAGGCAGGTCCTTAATCTAACAGATAATTTTAAGTAGGTAAATTCTAGCAGAAAGCTTTCTATCGGAGCTTTCTCTCAGTGAAGCGACATAGTTCGGATCTAGTAGTCTGTTGTTGCTGGAATTTCTTTGTGATATATCTACCTCAGTTTTCTTCTGGTAAGACGTAAAACACGACAAAATTAACCCTTTTTAGCTTCATAAAATTTGAAGCAAATTTTTTTCTATTTTTAAAACCAAAATTGAAGCTTTTCAATTTTTTTTACATGGCTCTTAAAGAACAATTCTCTTGAAATAGGCGACGAAAAATTCAAAATAAATTCAGATATATTTCTTTCTCAGTAAAATGTGACAATGTTGGCATACGGCTGACAATCAAATGATTGTTCGTGCTTGATGACCTCTCGAAGGACCTGGCAACTGCACTACAATAGTATTATTGCTAATGTTTGAATATTTAAGTGAACATCGAGGTCATGTTGGCGTACTAATGGCTACACAGAATAACGAAAAATTAAATTTGACTCTAATTTTCAGTTTAACGCGAGCAAATAAAACAAAGAATTCAACTTCCCTGTCTGTCTGTCTGTCTGTCTGTCTGTCTGTCTGTCTGTCTGTCTGTCTGTCTGTCTGTCTGTCTGTCTGTCT